CATTTCTCTGGTAGGGAGGGAAGGTGGGGGTGAGGGGTAGGGAGGGAGGGAGGGACCCAGGGAGCAGGTGGGAAGAGGTGGGGAGGTGGGGTATTTTGATTGACAGATAGTATTTCGGTAAGTATATTTTGTTTATTTATTGAAGATATTTGTTTTAGCTCATAAAATTCATACAAATTACCGGGCCAGAATATAATTTACGTTGCTGGAATTCTTACAATTTGATGATCATTTTGAATATAAACATCATAGATTTTGCATTAGACATACAAATTTTAGATCTACTTTAAGTATTTTGTTTACTCTGAGTAAATATGTTATCTTTTGTGCAAAATATATGACATTTATATTCAAAATATTCCTGGTCTTACAAGGAATCCAGCAATGTCAATTGTATTATCCTAACTTTAGTCTGAGGTATTATTTATTACTAAAAAGGTAAATATTCTGGTTTCTCCCAAAGATTTCTCTGGTAGGGAGGGTTGGTGGGGGCTGGGGGGAAGGGAGGGACCGACCGACCATCTGGCGAGGTTGAAAGAGGGGGGGAGGCAAGGTGGGGTGTTTTGATTGACAGATAGTGTCGTGAAGCATATTTTTTTTTTTTATTAACTGAAGATTTTTGTTTTAGCTCATAAAATTCATACAATTTACCCGGCCAAAATATAATTTACATTGCTGGAATTCTTACAATTTGATGATCATTTTGAATATAAACATCATAGATTTTGCATTAGACATACAAATTTTAGATCTACTTTAAGTATTTTGTTTACTCTGAGTAAATATGTTATCTTTTGTGCAAAATATATGACATTTATATTCAAAATATTCCTGGTCTTACAAGGAATCCAGCAATGTCAATTGTATTATCCTAACTTTAGTCTGAGGTATTATTTATTACTAAAAAGGTAAATATTCTGGTTTCTCCCAAAGATTTCTCTGGTAGGGAGGGTTGGTGGGGGCTGGGGGGAAGGGAGGGACCGACCGACCATCTGGCGAGGTTGAAAGAGGGGGGGAGGCAAGGTGGGGTGTTTTGATTGACAGATAGTGTCGTGAAGCATATTTTTTTTTTTTATTAACTGAAGATTTTTGTTTTAGCTCATAAAATTCATACAATTTACCCGGCCAAAATATAATTTACATTGCTGGAATTCTTACAATTTGATGATCATTTTGAATATAAACATCATAGATTTTGCATTAGACATACAAATTTTAGATCTACTTTAAGTATTTTGTTTACTCTGAGTAAATATGTTATCTTTTGTGCAAAATATATGACATTTATATTCAAAATATTCCTGGTCTTACAAGGAATCCAGCAATGTCAATTATATTATCCTAACTTTAGTTTCAGGTATTATTTATTACTATACCTTAAAATCTAGTGGTTTTCCGCCAAACATTTCTCAGAGAGGGAAGAGCCAGCGAGTGTGAGAAGAGGGAGAGAGAGTTGAGTCCATTATTTGAATGGACATTAACTTGGCGACTGTATTTCTCTATTTCTCTTAAGTATTAATTGTGTGCATGTACCATCATAAAATTAAGATGTTATTTTCACTAGAACATAGGTTTTGTGTCGGAAAAAGTGGAGTTTGGGGGTCAGCCGGTCTCTATTTCATTTAATCCCATATGTTATGTTGTTCACTTTACGCGTTTCTCGCTTTACGCGGGCCTCCGTCGGTTCAATTGACAGCATAAAGTGAGGGTTCACTGTATTCCACTTTTCATATCCTCTATATCTCCTGAATTACCATTTCTTACACGCTTTATCATATGCCTTACCTCTTCTATCATAATGTCTTATCGTTCTCTATAGTACATATATCTAATCCGCTCTTTCCTAATACCTGGTCCAAATATACAGTCCCCCAAAAAAGTATCGTTACTCATGAGATCAAAGTGGTTTGTGGTTTTGTGGGCAGAGTTAGTCCACCAGTTTCAGAACAGTTGATACAGTTGACTACAGGTATTGGTATACACCTTTATCTACTACGTCGATCAAATTACCAGGTAAAACTTATGTGCAGAGAATTGCCAGAATATCAAAATGACCAGTAATTTAAGTTTTTTCCTGCATTTATTTAATTAATACATAAGTTTTGTATAATTGAACACTGTTACTGATATGGGGAGCAGACATACCAACACATGACGATGCACCTATACCATTAGCCTATTTTTCTCATCTCATCCATTTCCATCACTATTCAACTTATCTTTATCTATTCAATCTCTACATCTTTCAATGGCATCTTTGCCTTCTTATCCAAAACACCTATTATCATAACAAATTTGCAGTTAATTAAGGTATATGTGTGAGAAGAACTAATTTCTGCAAAATTTGAATAATATTGCACTTCGCACTATCTTTTTATTTATACAAAATAATTTTGCAGAGACACGGTGATTTGATAAGGAATCTTATTAATATCAATTAATTTTGGAAGGTGAAAACTTTGGTAGTCTCAGGATCTACAGGACTGGGTTCATCCTCTTACCACAGGTCATGAAGTAAGTTGTTAGTTACTTCAGTCATCCAACAGTAGGTTTAGATCAAGCATGTGAACAATGCATCTCTAGTTGGTTAAACAAGAAAAAATCTACGATGTATAACCAAAAAAATTTAATAAAAATAAATATAAAAAAATAAATAATATTAAAAACTCCATGCCATGAAGAGGAGGTATAGGTATCTTTATAAACATGAATATCAGAACAAGAATTTCGAAGAAACAAGTAAGCAGTGAAAATAGGAACAACATTTAGGGAGGACAGTACCAGGAGTATTAGTAAACAATAAAAAAAGTTTGACTGAAACAACAAGACACAGGGAACGTATGATACTGGATAAAGGAAATACAAACTGGACACGTGAGACTGGCGGTGATGCTGGATACACACGCAGGGAAAATTTGAGTATTTCCAGACTATCCTTAGATACGAACTATGAAAGACTTAATAATTAGGTGATGAAACAATAGTAGACATTGTTTCATATGATTTAAAACTGGTGTAAAATGTGAGAGTTAGGAAATACTTTGATGCTACAAAAATATTCAAGTTTTTAAATATGTGTAACCAACACACTAAAAATACATATAAATTAGTCCATTATCACTCAACTGGTAATAATTAAAGCATTTGCTGACCATCACATAATATTTAAAAGTTACAATGATATCACATATTAAATTATTTATACAGGAAATTCCTGGTTGTCAATATTTTGAGAAAACGATCCTTACTCTAGTCTTCTAGTCTTATGATGACTCTGATTTGTGAATTTCCAATACTCATTGGTGATCAAATTTTCCCTTCAATAGGGTGCAAATGTTGTATGAAATAATTAAAAAAATGAAATCAGTAACTGATTCTATTTGTTTAGATTATACTGAGTAATTTCTTTTCTTATTTAGTGGTGCATCAAAGCTCAGCTTGAAAATATGACAATATCAAATTTGTACTTCATGCAACTAAACACAAAATAAATTTGCAATTATAATAAGATAATTATAAGGAAAATTAAAAAGAAGGACATACTTAAACAAATACAGAGTCCTTCGCTTTGTCTTGATGGCCTATGTTATATTTTATTAAGCCATACTGTACTTAATTTTGTAATATTTTAAATCTGGGGATTACTTGAAGAAAAGTTAAGTTCTTCATCACCTTCAATTATATTATACAACACACCCAGTGAAAGAAGATCAAGGATAACAATATTGTTTAACACCTATTCTTAAGGCTCAAGAAACAACCTATTTAATTAAAGGGAAGATTTGCAGTCTCTTGCATTGATTTTGTGCTTTGTTGAGAAGTAGTTGTAGATTTTCAAAACACTTTACTTAGGAATTTCAATCCTCTTAAAACCAAGAGTGACACAGTACAATATTCAACTAAAGACCAATTGTACTTTTTTTTCACAACAAAGATATGCACTAATATAGTACATAGTGTATAAGCATTTAAACAAACAGTTTTGCATAATTTATTCTATAAATACTGCTGAGAAATGATGGAGCTTTATAGATTATCGGCATTATTAAAATGAATGAAATGGATTTATAGAAGTTTACATTTATACTAGAGGAGTTTGTTATATTAAATCTCTACAAGAAGTTTTTTATTTTTTCACATCAAAGGACAGTAAGTGTGTTATTGAAACTTTCAACAAGGGGGAAATTTTTTAAACTTGAAATTCCCATACTAGTGTTTTATTTATGTAAGAAGGCATCAAGAGAGAGGATGCAACTTTGAAGGAACAGGTTTTTTTTTTTTTTTTTTGGTTTTGAAACAAGTTTAGAAAAAACATAAGACCCCTTAATTGTAAAATGACTCAGTTGAAAAGAAATCAAGTGATATGGTTGTACACTTGGTTTCACTTATCACAAGAGAAAACATATATCAATACAGGTATGTATATTAAATGTCTTTTGGTTTTGGTTATGTTTTCAACTGAGTCTTTTATTCAATTTTAATCATCCAAATTTGAATATTTAATGACAAAACCTAAGAAAAACTATACAGTATGTCAAAATAGGATATAAAATAAAGTTCACAATATTGATAAAAATTTTAACCCTGTTCATCAAGGGAAAATAAATAATAAATAATTAGTATCCAGTTTTAATGCAATGGGACTTAAAGATGAGATGAGTGGTGACTATTTTTCTGTGGTGGATAATAAATGGGCATTATATTCAACCATGACATAAATGAGTTATATACTACCTGTTGAATATAATTATGTGTACAGTATTATGTAACCCATTTTAGAGCATTAAATTTATCTTCAAAGTTCCACCAGCCAACCACACCAACCACATGCAAGTAAATAATAAAGTTGCCCATATGAAGCAAGAACATAAGACTGAACACTTCACACATAAGTACAGTACCAGTTACTGTATGGATTAAAAGATTTAGTATTACGGTATTCATTTTAGGCTCAAGAGATGGAGCAGTTAATTGAATGCACGAAATGAAATGATACTTACAGTTTTTACACTTGCACTTCTTAATAAGAGTTTCATCCTTTATATCATCATGACAGGCTTTGCAGTAGTACCAGGCTCTGTGAGGAGATAAAATGTTTGTCTTTGACTTTTTCAGTAAGACTGTATTTAGTGAATCTATGATGGATGACTTTACATAAGTAAGCCCTAAATGAAACAACCAATAAAAATAGGAGAGCAAGAACACAACAACAAAAGAGAAAATACCAAGAACCCGATGGTTTTCAAACCATAGGCATATATTTCAGGCAACAAAATAATATTTTTCTAAATCTAAAATTCACACATTAAATACTTTTGTGACCTCATAGGACTGTACGTCATATTGGGGTTCAGGAAATTCCAACCCTTCTGGAAAGAAGCATCTGACAACTTTGTCGGCTATCTTTGGTTAAGTTGCCTTACTGTTTACCTGCACTGTCTCAGCATACAGGAAACTGTACAGTATACTGTACTCCTATGACTTACGTGCACTGTATACCTACAGTGTCTATATTCATGCTAAACTGTACCTGCATAGTTTATAAACATGCTTAACCAATTGAAAACCTGTATGACAATTTTATTGAATACATATTATTATTATTATAATAACTCACTACTAAAATAACTACTACCATGGAGGAACCTGGTTCAGAAACCTGTGTCATCTATGCAACGTGACCCAAACCACGGAATGAAACTAGTAAACATTACCAAGCGACACTTGAGTGTCTTGCAGAATGTGTAAAGATCAGAGATCCCATACCTTAAGTAGTCATAAATTTTGTAAATGGTAATGCTTAAATGTTGATATAAAAGCAAACCAAATTTCATTCAACTCTATCATGTGAATGTTTTCTTTCTTGTATAACATCTTTCTTGTTGCGAGAGATTCTCCCACATCCTCTCCTCTAAGAGTGATGAAACCCCAAAAAGTCCTTGAATGCTGTTGTTATGAAGCTCTTTAGTATTTCAAGGATAGGATAAAAGCTCTATGCTCGGTCACTTGCTTATTCCAAAGGGGTTTCTTTAGACTTGGTCATCTAAAAGATAATTTTTTCAGTTTCTCTGTTTGATCAGGGATGAATACTTTTACTTTAATTTTACTCTCTTCACTACTGATCGGCTCGTTAGCCGCTTGGGCGATCGGTCACATCTCTGTTATGCACTGTTGGCAAGTACTGGGTATGCACCAGCTCCTGAATGTACCTGAACCTGCTCCAGTGTTGATCAAGTCTAGTCTTGAAAAAGCTCACACTCGGTGCCAACACAACACATTCTGGTAGATTGTTCCAAGAGTTCACAACTCTCACTCCGAAAAAGTTTGCCCTCACAGTTTTCTGCACCTGCGCCTTCTTCAATCTTGAGCTGTGATCCCTTGTGGGGCGAGCGTCTGCCAGCTCCAAGTAAGAACACTCGACTGAGTAGTGCCCCTTGAGATGCTTATACACCTCAATTGGGTCGCCCCTTGCCCTTTCTGTAGTATAAGCTAGGCAGGATCAGGCACTCCAATCTCTCAGGGTAGTTGAGGTGCCGAAGTCCAGGCACCAGTCTGGTGGCCCTCCTTTGAACAATATCAACCAACTGAAAGTCCCTAGCATATCTAGGGGACCACATGGGGTGAGAGTACAGTACTCCAGATGGGGAAGCACTTCACTCTTGAAGATCGTTACGAGGGACGGACCGTCTAGATATCTGAACGACCTTCTTACAAGACCCTATAATTTATTTGCCTGATTTACCTTCTTCTCGCAATGGCCCGAGAACTTCAGCTCATTGTCAACATACACACCTAGGTTTCTTCTCACATTCAGTCCCAAATAGTGCAGTTTCTTCATCCCGTTGGGACATATGATATGCCTCCTTACCATTGGTATGCCCCAGGTGCATCCTCTTACACTTCGTGGCATTGGATTTCAGCAGCCATTTCTTCGACCATTCTTGGAGCCCACAGAGATCCTTCTGCAGCTCTTCACAGTCCGCATGGTTCTTGATTTCCCGAAATAACTTGGCATCATCGGGAAACATTTGTATGGAAGGGTGCACAACGACAGGCATGTCATTTATGAAACAAACAAACAACAGCAGGCTCAATACACTGCCCTGTGGTACCCCGCTTGTGACAGGCACGGACGATGATTTCGTGCCATTAATCAGCACACACTGCTTGTGGTCATGTAAAAAGTCTTCAATCCACGCTAGGACATTTCTCCAAATTCCGTACCCTTCCAGTTTGATTTTCTGCCTTTCGTGGGGTACACTGTCGAAATCCTTGGCAAAATCTAGGTATATATTGTCGATATTACCACCCTGTACCAGAATATGGGTCCAAATATCCAATACCTTGAGCAAATGTGTTAAGCAGGAGCACCCCAGCATAAAGCCGTGTTGGCAATCCTTTACAAGGTCGTTTCGTAGTAGATGTTCCATCGCGGCATCTCTGATAATACTCTCAAGTACTTTACATATTATGCTGGTCAGGCTCACCGGTCTATAGTTGTTCGTGGAGTGACGCTCGCCCTTCTTGAATTCTTGTAGATAGGACTCACATAAGCCACTTTCCATTCACTGGGGACCTTTTGTTCATCCAGGCATTTACAAAACAGGATCTTCAGGGGCTCAGCAAGCTCATTGCACAACTCTCTAGCACTCTAGGATGCACCATGTCAGGGCTGGGACTCTTATGGACCTTTAGCTTTGACAGTTTATTTCTAATACCCTCTTCTGTGAACACAATGTGGGTCAGTGCTGTGTCGAACCGTCTGTCTTCAAACGCAGGAAGGTTAATCGCACCCTCTCTTGTGAACACTGAGGAAAAGAAGCTGTTCAATGCCTCAGCTTTATCCTGGTCAGAATCTGCGTAACTACCATCTTCAAGCCTCAGGTCTGATACTCCTACTCGCATTTTTAATTTTGACTTTGCATAGGGATAAAACGCCTTTGAATTTGACTTGACCTCGTTCGCAACTAGCCTCTGGAACTCCTTTTCAGCCTTTCTACACTCTGCCTTTGCTTGGTTTCTGGCTCTTGCATATATCCTCCTGTCCTGCTTATCGTTTGACCCAACCCACGTCTTGAATTTCTGGGTTTTCCTCTTAACTTTGTTGACCGCCGCATGGTTCATGTGTAGGGAACCCCTTGTATTCCAAGAGGCACTGGGTTTGGTCTTGGGTATATATTTATCGATCAAATGGGTCACTTTACTAGTTATGATATTCAGTGTAGTGTCTGCGTTCTTGTGCCTTAATGAGTAAGTCCAGTTGATACCCCTCATCACTTCCCTCATCCCGTTGTAATTTCCCTTGTAATATTTGCACCTTGGCCTGACCTTATCTTGAACTAGGTAACAGTTAAATTTGAATGACAACACTATATGGTGACTGGTGCCAATTGGGGCAAGGTGTTCCAGTTTGGCCACCATACCCTCCTCGTTTGTTATGATGAGGTCTAGTGGGTTGGGTGTTTGCTCCCCTCAGTAATGTGTCAGGTCTCTAACATGTTGGAACAGAAAATTATCTCTCAGAGATTCTACAAAAAGAGTAGCAAGGTTATTCAAGTCATTTGGGGTGAACTCGTTTCTTCAGTCGATGTCGCCATAGTTAAAGTACCCCATGATAAGGAGGTGGCTCGGGTTGAGCATCACCACGTTGTCTATTAAGGCTCTTAAGTTCCTTTGATTTAGTGGGTCACAGTTTGGGGATCTGTAGATACACACGACGATAAGTAAGTCCCCTCCCTTTAATTTAATTTTACACCACTTGGACTCTTCAGAAACATCCTCTCCCTGTACCCTCGCCTGGCTGGCTCTAAGGTCTTGCCTAGCATAGATAACCACACCCCTCTTGCAAGTTTCTTGAGAAAGGTTCGTAAATTAGTCATATCCAGCAATACTGAACTCACATTCCTCTCGGTCGTTTCTCCTGTTCTTGTACAACAGTTCTGCAACTCCTACAATATCTGGTTGGTGTACCTTCAGTAGTGTTTCAAACTCCTCTCTCTTATCAAGGAACGTGTCAATATTAGTGTACATGACATTCAAGCCAGAAGTAGTTCTCGGTAACGTCTCTGATCTTAATAGTAACCCCCCCCCCCCATTCTCAGAAGCTGCAGCATTTGCTAAGTACACTGTATTTTGCAGGGTATGGTTAAAAATGTCATTGTTTACACGGCGCTCGCCTCCTCCTGTCTGGTAGGCGGAGCTAGTGCCACCTCCCGGGTGGAGGGTGCGCTGCTGCCCCCTGGCCCTGTGTCGGCACACTTGCTTCCACTTCCCTCTCCCTGAATATAACCCATGTACACCTGTCCACATTCCTCCTTGACTCCTCCCTCTTCTGCTTTAAGTCCTGCAGGAGCTTCTTGTGCTGTTCCCTCTGCATTACCGTGCACTCTGGGTGAATGAATACACTCCGAGATGCCTCGCTCCTTGCTAAGTTTTTTGCCTGCCAAATAACCTCCCATTTCTCCTCTCCACTCACTAGTGTGATCCTGAGGGGGCGAGGCTTATCCCCCTGCTTTTGTCCCAGCCTCCTCACATCCTGAGGGGTTGATGGCATCTTCAGAACCTCTGTACAAATATTCTTAAACTGCTTCTTATCGTGTGTTATCTTACTCTCAGTTCCCTCCGCCTGGCTCTCAGGGACTCCAAAAACTATTACATTGCTCCTACGCTGGAAATGTTCCCGTTGTTCCTCCTCTCCCCTAACAATAGGTCCTTTAATTATCATTTCTTCGACACAGTTCTTCAGAGTCCCTAGCTGCTGTAGAAACTGTTCTGATCCTGCATTACTCTCCGCCACCTCCCGTGGCCCTGCTAATGCCTCAGCATAACTCCTCTTAGCAACCACCTTCATTCTATCGGCTACTTCCTCAGTCTTAGCAAGGATCTTTTCCCAACTTGTTCTAGTTTGGCAATCAGCAAGGCTCCAGCTTCATCTATTTTCGTCCCTCGGGAACTCATTCCCCCATGGCTTGCAATCACCTTTCACCTTGACTATGCAGTCAGAGCAATATCAGCAACAGCCTTCATGCTTTACGACAGCTAGCATCGTCCTAAACGTTGCAAAGGTCAGGCCTGTAT